ATGTCAAGGTAGCAGCTACGGTCGGGTTCTCGTCAATAACTTTAAAAATTATATCAAGTGCCATTTTTGAAAGCCCACTGTAGTATTTTACTAGTTTGTTAACCTCCCTTGAGCTAAAAATGGTTGAAGCATAAGTTTAACGGCTCAATAATAGACAGTATGAGATTACTTAAAAATATGTGGTGCATCTCGCTTAGACCCTTTGGTTTTCCAAGTCAAATCTGTTTAGGAATTCAAAAACATCAAACTCTTAAATGGTTACATTTCTCAAATTTTGGTTAGGAGAAAGTGTATCCGCTCCCTGGGAAAAACATTTCCCCACTGTATATATATTACTAAAATAGTCTAAGAACACAATCAACATGGAATCACTTCCAATTTATAATGATGTACAGCAGTCTCCATTGTAGAATGAAATACCATAACTCTTTTCTTGGCTTATGTATACAAATTGGTGTTTCAGGTATTCGATTTATTGACAAATAAGTCTTGTTTCACACTTTTTTATTTGTTGACATACGAATATAAATTCGTAGGCTCACAACGACTTCAAGTGCTCTTAAATTTCTTCACTTTAAGTTTAGTCCTCTCTTCTAGAACGTACTCATGTTCCTTGGTTTACATAATATTCTTGAGGGTTCAAACGGCTTCACAACTTAGTTAAAAAATTTTCAATCGTAACCAGACGTTGAATGACATGACTCAGAATCGTTATCAATGAGCCAGGCGAATCTATTCTTTGTCTTCCCCCAAAAATTCTAAGCTGGATTCCTCATATTTTATTTATTATCTATTTGTTTAAACACAATTAGTGGTACAGAGCCACCTAAATATATATATGCCACACAATTATTGAGTTTGTGAGTAGGCTGGAATACTGCCTGAGTGCCCAAACCTAAGTAAGTGACTTTCTTGGGGTATTAACCCAAGAGCCTTTGATTAACAGGTATAATTCACAAGGAATTGAAACAATGTTTGTAGATGTAGTCTTATGATAGACGGTGAACAACAATTGATTCATACGCCACTCGTTCTGTCAACATCCTGGAACCCATGTGCACCATTGGTTTGCATTGGGGCTTTTCCAACTCCCTACTCACCAACCTGGTTAAGCTTCTGTCGGATTGCTTGATCGGTGGTCCCAGATTATTTGAGCAATGCTTCGAAGACACCTATGATCAAATACTAGTAACCTACAAATGTCCTCTCTTAATGTTTCACCTGTATCGTAGGACGGAGCGAACTGCTGTTCAGTAGACTTGTTCTTTGTTTAGTGGCTATATATGCATGGCCATGTGAGAGCATAACGAGAGAGCGGATTCTCCCTTCTCTTAGTCTTATCAGTGCATTTGAGGGTTGATTCTTCATAACTTCAAGGAAATGAGTTCCACTGATTTAAATTTCCTTCAATCCTCAATACATAATGTTCTCCATTAGCTCTAATCCTATTATTTCTACTACCTCGAAATTTAACCTGAAAACTTCATCTTTGTTAATCGAGTTTAGCAATTTAAACTGGTGTATGTACATACCAAGTTCTACGTTGCAACTGACTGAAAATTTTTTAGATATCGTCTCAACTTTTATCTATATTGCTTTCTCCCTTGATATTCCAGTATATTAAAAATGCCACATACATAATTCCCTAAATAACTGTTCCTGAAATTTGATCCAATTAGAGCAGATAGTCATTTACATTTATCTGAAAAGTGCAGATCAGAACTGTATGGTCATTTACCAAGTATGGGAATAATGATATCTCATGATGAGGTAACATGCAGTTGCAAACGTCACTGACAAGTGGACTGAGTCATGTTGGTAGATGTAGACTACGTGGTTGGGGTCCGCGAGACGAAAGTCACCAATGGTTAGAGACCTTGAACAACATGGCTCAAAATCGTTTGCAATGGCACAAGTGCATTCATACTTTCAGCTCTCTCAAATCCTGATCTTCTGGATTCGTCAACACCTCTACCTTTGTCTTTCTAACCTTATCTCACTGAATTATACTTCTTGAATAATATCTTCGAACCCTAGTCTTCTTCATTACCATTAATACCTCTACTATCTCTATAACTATGGGATTTGATTTGACATTTGCATCTCTGTGCTAATGTGGTATGGCAACATGAAGTTATGTACATACGTACAAAGTTCTACGTTGCAACTGACTGACTGGAACGTCACTGATTCTCAGTCCCACTATATTACTACCCTTACGCATTGTTTGCGAACAAATGTATTTTAACTTGAATCTTAGCTGCACAGTTCAAAAATGTGAACGCAATAGCGCGCAATTACCCTTTAAAACTGTTCCTAATACTCAACCTAACCATCAAAAAAATAATATCAAGCGTACAACAGAAGAATATTATTTATTAAACGGAATATATCACTTTACACATATTTACCTTGTAGTGATTATCAATTTGATTTCAATAATTACGACTTAAATGATTCCCGTACTGAATATTGAAGTGATTAGGACATGTGTTACGTATGCCCAACCACCGACTGCCTCGACGAACGATGTTTGTGGTGTAGGAGTAGTCTGGAAGAAAGCTAGGAGCGGCCAAACCAAAACGTAACACAAATCCATGAAGTTACAGACTACTGTACCGAGCCATGTTAGTAGGTGTAGACTATCTGGTTGGGGTCTGCGAGTCAGTAGTAACCGAAGGTTCGAGACCCTGAATAACATGGCTCAGATTCGTTTGCAATGGCGCAGATGCATCCACTGTTTGTGTTCTCTCTAATTCTAACCTTCTGAATTCCTCATAACCGTTACCTTTCTCTTTTTTTTCAAACAAAACTTTTACTTGAACATTCTTCTCGATTGCTGCTAATAGTTTTACTACCTCTGTAAGTATGGAATTTAAACTGACAATTCGACCTAACCGTGGATGCTACCTTGACGTGGTTGTTTGGCTTGCCTATCGTGATCACCCAACCGAGCTATATTGGCTAGAACATGTGTTCCTGAAAGTTCTACCATGCCAGGCAGGTCGACTGGAGAACAATGAGACTAAAAGCAGCTACTCAAGGTCTGAGGGTGAAGTCGTACTGCTGACTGCAGAGAGGTGTGACAGCAGTAAGGTGTTTCCCTCGGACAACCAGCATCTGCAGTGATGTCGCCTTCTCACAAGGAATGAAGGGTTTAGAAAAGGTCGACCCTAAAAATGTAACTCCTCATCTTACGTCACGGATTTTTATCTCCACCGGTAAGGGCTTTTCAACAAGAACGGAGCTAACACTTCTCATAAGAAGGCCGTGCGTGACCGGCCTCAATCAGTTGTCTCTTGGATTCTGCGGTCATACTCCCAGGTCTCTGAGACTGACACTAATCCAATTCCCTCCTCAGGCTTCTCAAGAAGCACCTTTCCAAAGTGTTGGCAGCCTGGAAGTGACATCCGCCTCCATACCTGTAACAGCACATGAGATCGAAGCGGTCAAAATCAAATCCTGACTGACTGTGTGTTATTGTAGTATCACAACTGGAACTGATGTGCATACTTACAAAGTTTTACGTTGTTGCTGACTGACTGATACTGATACTTAATGCGTAAAGTTGTCTTAACATACCAACTAAATCAAATGATAATGTATTCTTCATCGTATTTTCATCGTCTGTTTTGCAAGCTGAAGAGGAAAATTAATTGTTCTCCATTTCCTGATGTGACTATCTGTAGCCAATAGATCTATCAATGTTAGGGCATTGTTATTTCACAGTTTGGACTGTCATCCAGCTGTTACATTCTTTTCAGGGATATTTCTTAAATCTAATTGTTCACATTCAATAGATGAAACCTTAGTTTGGCTAGTTAGATTACCTAAGTTGCTTAAGCGCGTCTGGGAGTCAGTTTTGCTGACATGGTATGGCAACCTGAACTGATGTACTTATGTACGAACTTCTGCGTTGTATCTGTCTGTCTGTAAGTCAGTTAATCATCCATTAGGAATCAGGCATCACTGGACATACCTGCTTTGTCCATGTGTGGAAACTGCTTAACAATGTGCATCCATAACTTCACCAAGGATCTGTCTGAGCCCCAGGAATTCTTTAGGACCCCGAATATCATGGATCGCACATATCAGTTATTGAAGTATCGTAAGTGTTAATAATGTCAATAACAAATAATAAATAATCTCTCAGAATCAAAGAAATTTTACACTATAATTAGGATTAAACATGGCAGAAATCCATGAAGTCATTGACGAGTATACTTAGCCATGTCAGTAATTGTCGACTACCTGGTTAGGGTCCGCGAGATGATAATAATCGATGGTTAGATACCCTGAATGACATAGCTCGAAATCGTTCGCAATGGCGCCGGTGCATTTATGCTTTGTGTTCTCTCAAATCCTAATCTTCTGGATTATTCAACCCCTCTAGTTTTGACTTTCTAAACTTTTCTCACTGAATCATACTTCTTGAATAATAATATCTTCTAATCTTAACCTCTCCGATTACTTCTAATACCTTTACTACCTCTTCTACTATTGGATTTGAATTAACAGTTACATCTCTGTGCTGATGTGGTATGGCGACATGAACTGATGTACTTACGTATGAAGTTCTGACTGACTGACTATGATTAGGATTAAAGTATTTCTTTCTATTTTCTCTCATCTGAATTTTTATTATTCCGAAAAAAAATAGTTTTATTCCATTCACACATGTATATTTGCTTTCTCTCTTCTGTGTATATTTTCTAATGTTTAGACTCTCTTTTTTGAGAGTTGTATCAATCGGGCTACATGGAATATTTCTCTGGTACATTAAATATTCGAATCTATGAAGCAGCTGAATTAAAACCAACCGCTTGTGCAACTCGTCATGCAGTTGGACCAGCTGCAAAATTATATGAATTACTTGATCCTTATGTAACCATTGATGTGGATGAGATTGCCATTGGTAAAAGTTCCACAAAATCACGTACTAATATACCACAATGGAATGAAGATATTTGTGCCCGAATTAATTATGCTCAACAGCTGACATTTACTGTTTATCATGATGCCGCTATTCCACCAGATGATTTTGTTGCTATTGTCGAATTGGCTTTACGTGATGTACGTTTCGGTGAAGATATGTGGTTAGAATTGGAACCACAAGGCAAACTGCTAGTACGTATTGATTTAGCTGGTACTAGAACAGATGAACCACCAAAAGATCGGCCAGGATTTCCTAGTCGAGATAGTGCTATCGGTGGGGTACATGGTAAACATTATCGTTGTGGTGCACTAAGACGTAGAATACATCAAGCAAAAGGTCATAAATTTCAAGTGACCAGTTTACGTCAATTTACATTTTGTTCATTATGTAATGGTTTTATATGGGGTTTATGGAATCAAGGTTATCAATGTCAAGTATGTACATGTGTTGTGCATAAACGTTGTTATTTAAATGTTATTACTCAATGTCCTGGTGTTAAATCACCACCAAGTTGTCCAACAGCTGCTCTTCAAGTAAGTTCATTAAAATATTTTATTATCAGTAAAGAATATGAGTTAGAAAGTGTAGATGTTTTAAGCGTCATGTAATTTTGTAGTAGTGACAATACAGTGATTACTCAAACGATGTCATCATCTCTATATCTCAACATTTTAGTCTATCATGAGTTCAAATGTCATTTCAAATGCCCTGGTGAGTTTGACAGTCGGGCGAGTTCACTCTCCCTCTTTAAATGTTTTTGTATGGCCACTGTTATATCTGCACTTAAACACGTCAACTTGATATACTTGAACTATTACGAGTTTACCTAGTCGGAAAACAAGAGCGAGGATTGAGGATCTAGCGACACGACATGCTACTCAAATCCGATTATCCCAACTCCCATATTTAGTGGAAATAAGAAGACTTGAATGTGAAGTAGAACATGTATTCTACAAGCATCCAGAAAGTACGAGGTCCGAATGCAGAAGAGAATCAGGATCCCGGACTAGGGATCCGGGACCAGGTCCTGGTCATAAACGTTACAGATCATGCCTGTTTATACATTTTGGTCGAATAGGAAACAGTATCGAAGTCTGTGACATTGACAGTTAAGACGACCAATAGGAAGCAACATTTGAAGTGACATTGATAGTCAGGACAACCAATAAGAAACAACATTGGAGCACGTGGCATTGATATCTAGGATGACCATAAAATTGACCAGTAGGAATGAACCAATAGGGATAGACCAATAATCCTCTTAGGATATTGGATGAATATCCTAACAGCTACACATGTACAGACACTGTCAGGGAAATCCTCTTACTGATGTCCAAAAAATTAAGAGGACAGAAACCAAATCTCCAGCAGAGAGTTAAATCGAATTAGTTGGATACGGAACCTCAACCTATGAGATTTAGAAATCACTGATCCCAAAACAATCGCACCCAAGAGCTCGAAGATCTTGATAAAAATCATAATAATAGTCATAATAGGGATGACTTTATTCAATCTCATATGTTTAGTACCATATAGAATTCTCAGCACTGAATACTTTAACGAGTTTCCTTTACAACGAATGGATGGCGCAAGTGCATCCATCGATTTGAATTGACAATTATATCTCTGTGCTAATGTGCTGTGGCAACTTGAACTGATGTATTTACGTGCAAAGTTCTACGTTGCTGTTGATGATGATGATCTTATCGACGTTCATTCATTTATTAGCAGATTGCCAGTCATCGAGATGTCTTGGATGGTACTTTGTTAAGCAATAGGTCGTCAACAATTTGTATACTCACCTGAATAGATTATGCGATTAACAGACCTAATTGACACGTTAAAACAAATAAAAAGAAGGACGTAACTTGTTGGAGTCATTTCATTAAGATAACTAAAATGACCTATGAATGAATCTATGATGGTCACTGGCAGCTACCATTGGACGACTCTACATCTACTAACCATTATTATTTATGTGTTCTAAATGATTTACATAATAATACTATCAGTGTTTCAGTGACTATATAATATCAGTAACTATCCTTTCATTACTAACTACAAGGTTGATGGTGTTGTGAACTTTCGTCAGCTGAAATGCTTGAAACATTTGTTAGTATACCTAACCACCAACCTTGAATGGGTAATGTTTGTTGGTAAAGAGAAGCCTGTTGGGAGAAAGTTAACTGGTGTCGAACTATAAAACATGGGCATCCGTTTATAAAGTCATTAGCTGTTGATATTAAGTATGTCAGTAGATAGATGCAAACGATCTAATTTGAGCTTACGTAATAACTGTGATCAGTAACTGGAGACTTTGGGCACTGGCACAGTTGCATTCACTGCTTAACTTCCCATTCTATATTGATCACTAATCTCCTTCTCTACATACATATCTCTCCTCCCTATCTTTTTGAATGACGTTGTCGATGCTTAGTCTTTCCCTATTACAATTAGCTCGAGAGTCTCATCAGTGCTGATGGCTTGGTGTCTGATGAAATCTCAAGACGGATACAGAAAGTTCGATTGGCTTTTGCCAACTTGCGTCACTTATGGCGTAGGCGAGATATCCGTTCACTCAGCAGTTCACTACGTCCTATTTTATGGCTGTAAAAAATGACCAATAAGAGTAGAAGACATTAGTAGGTTACTGGTTTTCGATCGCTAGTGTCTCCGAATTATTGCTTGTTGACCTTGGGACTATCGAATAAGCAATGCAGTTGTTAGGAAACGGTTACTAGGTAAGGATGGCAAATCAGTATATAAAGAATCGAGACAGCATTTGTTGAGGTAGTTGGGACATGTATTACGTATACCTACCCAACGACTGCCTTGACGAGCAATGTTTTGTGGTCTAGGGGCAGGTTGGTAGGAAATTATGGACGGCCAAACTAAAACACAGCACAAATCCATGAAATCACTGACAAGTGGACTGAGTCATGTTGGTAGATGTAGACTACGTGATTGCGGTCCGCAAGATGATAGTAATCGAAGGTCTTCAGTCAGTCAGATGCAATGTAGAACTTCGTACGTAAGTACATCAGTTCATGTCGCCATACCACATCAGCACAGAGATGTAATTGTCAATTCAAATCCAATAATAGTAGAGGTAGTAAAGATATTAGAAGTAATCGGAAAGGTTACGATTAGAAAATATTATTCAAGAAGTATGATTCAGTGAGATAAGTTTAGAAAGTCAAAACTAGAGGTGTTGAATAATCCAGAAGATTAGGATTTGAAAGAACACAAACAATAAATGCACCGACGCCATTGCGAACGATTTTGAGCCATGTCATTCAAGGTCTCTAACCATCGATTATTATCATCTCGCGGACCCCAACCAGGTAGTCGACAATTACCGACATGGCTAAGTCCACTTATCAATGACTTCATGAATTACTGCCATGTTTTTGGTCTGGCCGCCCCTAACTCACAGTGTTAATATTTATTGTAATTTGAGCATGATGCGACTGTTTATCTACTTCAATACACTTCTTCATATCCTGTTTTCTTTTTCTCTATATCATTTACTAGAGTCGCTTCAATATTAATGTTCCTCATAAATTTCGAATTCATACATTTATGCGTCCAGCATTTTGTGATCATTGTGGTTCTCTATTGTTTGGTTTAATGCGTCAAGGTTTACAATGTGAAGTATGTCGGTTGAATATTCATAAAAGATGTGAGAAAAATGTTGCATCTCATTGTGGAGTGAATACACGTAATCTAGTCGCTGCCATTCGACTTTGTGGACTGAATCCATCAGATTTAGGTGTTAGTCCATCCGGTACAACAACATTGACACCAGGACCGGGGGTGACAGCTACCGGTCCTAGTCGAACTGCTAGTACTAATGTTTCTTCAGTTCGTCCTATATCAGCTGGTTCACGTAGTGGTGGTCCATTTGGTGGTTACGGTGATGTTGTCTTCTCCACTTCACCTGGACCTTTAAAACCAAGTAGTAAAGGTGATACCGGTTTTTCTAGGTGAGTGATAAAAGTGGTTTTTTTGGTTAAAATGTTACTCACACAATTCTTACAGATTTGTGAATAATAGTTTTTCCCCTCGCCTAGTCTATTTCATCACATTCAACGGTACGAAGAGTTATCTGTTATAAGTATATGGGTTAAAATCAGTCTATTTCTTTTCCATGTTACTGGTTCTGTTGAATAGTTCCTTGAACCCAATGATCGAATCGTGTAGCTTTCATTAGCGTTCCACACGGCATTACCAAGGGCTGACTTCATTAAACTCCGATAGTGTTGTACAGAAAAACAACAAAATCTCTAGCTCACCGAAATCATTCACCTAAGCTGTAACTCTTCTCTTTTTATCTAACTCTTGCGTTTGTATCATATACTGTTAATTTTGGTATTCATAGTTTCCTAGCAGTCTGAAGCGGCTAAACTAAAAGCTTGACATCTCAATCTATGCAGTGGTCGACTAATAATCGGAGCCATCTAGCTAGATACTTACTGATCACCGTGATCAGAGTGGTTGCAGACGTTGGATGGCATGGTTCAGAATCATTTACAGTAGCACAGTTTCATGCATATTTTTAACCAATTATGATAATAGTCAATTAAAAATTATCTTCACAGTTGAAATCACCAAATAGCCTTAGCTAAAACCATCATTGGAAATCTGGAAGCATTGGACGATTGTTTTGTTCTGGCATGGGACTCTTCAACGATGCACATCTATGATCCCACATGTGGAAATCAGACTCATGACCTTCGGTTGAGCACACGAATGTTTGATCTTTAAACCACTCAGTTGAGTTTTCACACAATAGTAGTAAATACAATGGAGTCGCAATTGATCAGTCTCATTTGGCATTATGTGTGCACCCTGTACGGATTGCCTCAATATTACTTTTTTAGGTTACAAATGTTATCGTTAGCAGAAGTAGATAGTGGTTAGCACTGCAATCTGTATCACACGTTTTGTCCTATTTATCAGCTGCATATACCTACATCTCGGAGTTGTTATTCATTTCGGGACTCCAACCTCAGTGCCTTACGCTCCAAAGGACATTGCGTCATCCATATAGAACTACTGAGTCCTGATAGCCACTTGCTTCATTTGTATCAGTGGTGTTTGAAGCGAAAGGCACTGAGTTCAAGTCCCGGAGTGAACAACAACTGTGAGATACAAGAACATTCATTCAGCTTACGAATGAAACATGCATCATGAATTCCACTACTAGCCATTAATCCATCTCTGGTAATTTGCAAGAAAAGTGTTAACTTGCCTGACTTTTATACACATCAGAATTCGTAATTGTATCGCAAATGTATCAATAATTGTTCTCATAAAAACACTGATAGCCTCTTAAGACAGACAGATACAACGCAGAACTTCGTACGTAAGTACATCAGTTCAGGTTGCCATGCCCCATCAGCACAGATACGCAACTGTCAGTTCAAATCCAACAGTGATAGCAATAATAGAAGTATTAGCAGTAATGAAGAAGATTAGGGAGTGAAGATATGATTCGAGAAATATAATTCAGTAAGATAAATTTAGAAGGAGAAAGGTAGAGATTATGAAGAATGCAGAAGCTTAGAATTTCATAGAACACAAAGAATGTCGGTAGTTGTCGACTACCACCTGGTTGGGGTCCGCGAGATGATAATAATCGATGGATAGAGACCTTGAATGACATGGCTCAAAATCGTTTACAATGGCGCCGGTGCATTTATTCTTCGTGTTCACTCAAATCCTAATCTTCTGGATTATTCAACAACTCTAGTTTTGACTTCCTAAACTTATCTCACTGAACCATACTTCTTGAATAAAATCTTCTAATCCTAATCTCTCTGATTACTTCTAATACCTTTACTACGTCTACTATTATTGGATTTGAATTGACAATTACATGTCTGTGCTGATGTGGTATGGCAACATGAACTGATGTACTTACGTACGAAGTTCTACGTTGCATCTGATTGACTGAGAACACAAAGAGTGGATGCACCTGCGCAATGATTTGATTTTGACCAATTTGGTGGTCTCGTGTGCTGTTACGGGTATGAGGGCGGTTGTCACTTACTTTCCAGCTGCCCATACACCTCTTAAGAGTTCTCTATGTTTCCTACATTGAATTCATTAGCATTTAGTTTAATAAATCTCTTCCCATTATTATTCTTGTTTTCTTTTTTCTTTATCTTTCTAGTTCCTCATTAATTGGTATAGCTCCTCATGAACGATCACTTAGTTCTCCTATTTCATTGCCAACAACTGATCTTAGTGGAGGTGGCGGAAGCGGTATTGGTTGTGGTGCTACTACTGTTGGTACTGGTACTAGTACTGGTGGTGGTGGGGGTAGCCTAGACGTCGAAGAGTCAAGCGCTAAATATGCAACATTAGATCTTTTATCTGGAAGTAGTGGTACAGTGAGTACTGCAGGACCAGTCGCTGGTCGACATGGAATGCCTGCTCAAAGACCATGTTCATTACAAGTATGCCTCTTTCTTTTTCTCTTATGATAAACTGCTCGGTCATAACTGTGTTAGCTTTAAAAATATAGCTCTGCACACAAGTCATATTAGTTCGCTTTATTTGTATACCGTTCGTTTGAATTAGAAATTATGAAGAACTATTCCGAGTATTGTCTGTTTGAATCACCTACACTTTCTCTCTTGAATCCGATTGTTGCGTCATACCATATCTTTCTTTACAAAATAGCCGCTTGATGGACGACAGTGTAGGGTATTCCAGTCGTGTATCCAATGCCCATTCTTATTATAGGGATTGAAGTAGTGCAGCAGCGTTTTGATGAAACTAACTTCTACACAATATTGTTAAATAGAGTAGTTCCACTAAATGCTCTGGTACTGTGGTGTGAGCTACTTATGAGTAGTATATGACGTGAGTGTCAACGTAATGTCTGGCAGCAGAAGATGGCGGGGAAGATCAAGAAAGGAAGAGTTAGAACACAATGGAATTTGTATGAAACGCATGGATAGTGACAATGGATTGATGTTTTTTGCAACAGGAACAATCCAGTTCGATATGATGGTCTGATATTTTGCAAAATAACGATTTACGATATGGTTTTCCTATTTTACTGAGTAACTCTGTAATTTTCGTTAAATACAATTCGGTTGCCTTCCCCTGTGTTCTCGTTCACTACAGTACGACCAAGAGTAGGGAGTATCCGATCTCTCTTTATCCTCTTTCTCTCATATGACCATGTATATATAGTCACTATTAGAAAAGTTGTAATCACTACCTTCTCACAGCCCAAGTATTGCTTACAAAAGTGTATGTCCAACAGACGCGTAAACCAGGTTGATAAGTATAGAGGTTTCCACCTAGAGAAGTTGCAAAAACCGTAATCCCGAGTCAATGTTGCGCATAGGTTCCAAAATCCTAAGGGAACAAACGGCATGTGAATCTATTGTTGGTTACCGTCTACTACTATGAGACTGCATCTCTAGAAATTGTTCCACTGCCTAGTAGTGGATTAGATTTGTATATTAAAGGCTCTGATGAGGGTGGTACTTAGATAAAGTCACACTGTTAGAAATGTCAAAGCACTGAGGGACGGCGGTTTTGTCGTGATGGCAATGTGTATCCACGACTCCCACACCTCGCAGGATTCAAACTCAGGACTTCCGGTCTCACAATGACGAATGCCTAACTTCTGCACCATTATGCCGGCCGACATCCAATCAATCTAAGTATAGTTGATAAATTCGTCACTAAGTATGCTTGAGGCTACTATTACGAGTTTACCTTAGTCGATAAACGCGAACGAGACATTGAACCAGCGTCCAGGTAGGCTACCTGGAATCCCCTCAAGCGAGTAAAACGACTTTGTAAGCGTAGAAAGTATATTCTACTACAAACACCCATCAATCACACAATACCATCAAGCATACAACTCTCGTTTATTTATACAACATAGAAACGTCCTAGTGGGACAGTTAAGAAAATAGCACACTAATAAAATATACAGCAGCCAATCACACAGCCATGGATTTTCCTGGTGAAAAATGTGTGATCTCAAGGTCAACTGATCAGCCCATGCTCCTCGCAAACATGAAAACCAAAATCAGGCATTTATCAAGCGAATTTTGGGGATGTAACATCCCCAACAATAGTATAGTTTATATGTCAATTAATATTATAAGTAGTAGTACATAAAATCATCCCTTTTTTTCTTTAATTTTTTTCACTTTTCTCTTTTTTTTTTATCAAAAAATTTTTATTTATGCTAGGATCCTCCTGATGCCTATGGATATATTACTACTATTACTACTACTACAACGACAACTACAACTACAACTACTACAACTACAGATTCACGAATCCCATGTTTAATGGATTTTACATTTTTAAAAGTATTAGGCAAAGGTAGTTTTGGTAAAGTAATGCTTGCTGAATACAAATCAACTGGTGAAGTATTTGCTGTGAAAGTATTAAAAAAAGAAGTAATATTACAAGATGAAGATGTGGATTGTACTTTGACAGAACGACGTATTCTTGCTTTAGCTGCACATCATCCATTTTTAACAGCACTATATTGTGCATTTCAAACTGAGGTAAGCGATTTACTTACTTACTTACTTACTTACTTTCGCCTGTTACCCCAAATGGAGCATAGGCCGCCTACCAGTTTTCTCCAACCAACTCTGTCCTGGGCTTTCACTTTCCAGTTCTGTCCAATGTTTGTTCATTCCTCTCATATCTTTCTCTATTTCTCGGCGTAATGTATTCTTTGGCCTTCCTCTTTTCCTTTTGCCTTGAGGGTTCCATGTGAGGGCTTGTCTTGTGATGCAGTTAGGTGCTTTTCGTAGTGTGTGTCCTATCCACTTCCACCGCTTCTTCATGATTTCCTCCTCCACTGAAGGAGTCTGGTTTGTTCTCTCCCACAGTTCGTTGTTGCTGATGGTGTCTGGCCAACGAATACGAAGTATTTTGCGTAGACAGTTGTTAATAAACACTTGTATCCTCTGGATGATGGCTTTGGTAGTTCTCCATGTTTCCGCTCCATACAGTAGAACTGTCTTGACATTTTTATTGTATGTATGTATGTAAATCGAGGTAAGCGATTTACATATATCTATATACATATACATGTTTTTTGAGCAGTTGGGAGCAGAGTGGTTAGACTAGCGGCGAAGTCGTACTGCTAATTCTAGAGAGGTGTAACAGAAGTCAGATGTTACCTATCCTACTTTATGGATGCGAAACATGGCCGGTAAGAGTAGAGAGCATTCGTAGGTTATTAGTATTCGATTACAGAGATGTCTTCAAAGCATTGCTCGTATATCCTGGGACAACCTAGTGAGCAATGCTGTCGTTAGGAAACCAGTGGTAGGTAATGATAACCGATCAATAGGTGAATTAGTGAGGTTGAGGTGGTTAGTACATGTATTACATATACTTAACCACCGACTATCTAGACGAGCTGTCTTGTGGTGTACAGGTAGACTGGAAGAAAGTTAGGGGCGGCCAGATGTAGGCAACCCGGTTGGGGTCACCGATGGTTAGAGACTTTGAACGACATGGCTTAGAATCGTTTGCAATAACGCAGATGCATTCATTCATTGTGTTCTCTCTAATATTCTAACCTGAATTCCTCATCATCTCTATCTTTCGCTTTCTAAATTTATCTCACTGAATTATACTTTTCGAATAATATCTTCGCTCCCTAATCTTCTCCATTACTGCTAATTCTTCTACTACCTTCACCACTATGGGATTTGAACTGACTTTTTCGTCTCTGTGCCAATGTGGTTGGGCAATCTGAACTTATGTGCTTACGTACGAATGTCTACGCTGTAACTAACTGACTTTCAAGCAACCAATATCTCTTGATTGAAGGGAAGGGCTAGAAAAATTCGACCTTGAATATGCTAACTCATCCCTTGGATTTCCGTCTCTGTCGGGCAGGCTTTTTTGAAAAGGGAGCTAACACTTAAAAAATGTATCATAATTAGGACGTGCATGACCGACGTCTAGCAGTTGTTCCTTATGCTCTGCAGTCAAGTTCACAGGTCATTAAGACCAACACTAACTATGCTTCCCTTCCAGATCTCTCAGAAAGAAATATCCGTTCATAATATGGAAAGTTGGGAAGTGACAACCACCCTCGTACCTCGAACAGCACACGAAATCGTTTTGTTCAACATCTAGTCCTCCTGCGAGTGGTAGGAGTCGCACTGCTGATGAGTCACATACCAGGACGAAACGAACATCTTTCAGTGCTGTCAGGTTTTTAATAGTAGTCTAACAATGACTGATTGATGATTTCAGTAATATTTTACTAGTTTCATTTGTTTAACAATTGAGTTCCAAACTGCATGAATGCATAAATACAATGGATAGTTCTATAAGGATCTAGTAATTGACCATGGTATGATGAATGCTATTAACAAAGTCACTTATAAGTAGTATGCAGCGGATCGTTCTGTTTGAAGTTTCTATCAGAGAAAAGAGTATCTGGTGGTCGAAATGCATGAATGGCATAATCAGTGTGTTTTGAAGACTAGAAGAGATTCATGAGAGACCACAATCGATAATCTGCTCGGATTGCAGATAGATGACTAAATACAATATTTGCATATTTTGTTAGTCAGTCAACTACAGCGTAGAACTTCGTACGTATGTACATCAGTTCAAGTCGCCACACCACGTTAGCACTGACCGTAGCTGCTATGTTGATGTGGTAGTCGGGCTTGCCCAGCGTGATGACCCAACCGAGCTATATTGGCTGGAACATGTGTTCCTGTAAGTTCCATCATGCCAGGCAGGTTTATTGGAGAACGACGAGACTGAAAGCAGCTACTCAAGGTCTGAGGGCGAAGTCGTGCTGCTGATTGCAGAGGGGTGTGACTGCAGCAATGTGTTTCCCTCGGACAACCAACATCTGCAGCGATGCTGCCTTTCCACAAGAAAGGAAGTTGTTAGAAAAGGTCGACCCTAAAAATGTCACACCTCACCTTACCTCACGGATTTCCGTCTCCGTCGGTAAGGGCTGCCCACTAAGGGCTTTTAAGAGCGGAGCTAATAATCAAAAAACGTTTCATGAAAAGGCCGTGCGTGACCGGGTTGACGCAGTTGTCCCTTGGACTCTGCGGTCACGCTCCCAGGTGTCCAAGACCAACACTAATCCATCTTCCTTTTCAGGTTCCTCAAGAAACAACCTTCGACGGTGTGGGCAGCCTGTAAGTGACAACCACTCTCATACCCGTTACAGCACGAGAGACCAAATCCTTCCTATACCACTTAATCATTCTCTGATCTCCACGACCAACCCTTCTTTCATTCCTTTATTATCGTGCACCGCTGTTTATAAATGTTACGCATGAACGTAAACATGTCAATTTGATATGCTTGAAACTATTACGAGTTTACCTTAGTCGGAAAACGAGGATCCGGCGACACGATATGCTTCTCTAATCCGATTGTCCCAACCCCCATCGAATAAAAGAAGTAGACTTGATATGAAGTAGAACCTGTGTTCTACAAGCATTCAGAAATTATGAGGTCCAAGTCCAGAAGAGAATCAGGATCCCGAACTAAGGACCCGGGATCGGGTCCTGGTCATAAAACGTTACAGATAATGCATATTTATACATTTTGGTCGAATAGGAACCAACATTGAAGTCTAT